TGGCGGCGACGCTGGCGCAATCCGGGAATTTCTCGCGCGAGGCGAAGGAAGGAAATTGCGTTGCCCAATTAGAAATCGCGGGAGACCGCAGAAAGAACGGACCGAGAAAAAGAAGGAAAGACGGGGAAGAGAGGGATTTACTCGGAGTAAATCGGGCGAGAGGGAACGGAACGGGACGGGACGGAACAGAACGAGGACGCGACGCTTCGCGTATTTAACCCTAATCTGGCCAATCCTGTTTTCCAACCGAAAGAAAGAGCGCGCGACGATGTTCGCTAGTATAATCATTTAACGAAAGTCGTCGTTGTCGTAACGATAATTATGTAATAGAAGTGAAGATTTTAGCATTCCAAATGTATCAGCGATTGCGTGAACTTTAGTCAACAAATCCAGTTTTTTACTTAATCGATTTTTTTATTGCTACATAATTATCAAATTTATCAACTTTAATTTGTAATAATATATAAATATATAAATTGTGTGTGATTAATTGAAATTTTATGGATAGTCTAGGACAGACAATGAAATAGACAGACAAGTAAAGCTTACGAGAATACGAGATTGTCGACACACTGGTGCATGTAAACGATCGTCAGAGATGACGATAAATCAAACGAAGAGTAAGCTTAATAACTTTTTTTTTATAAAAAAGATGCAAAAATATCCGGTTCTCTCTGTGTTGAGCGGATAACAGTCTCTTTCCCCCTCATCTCCCCGCGGTCTATCTCGCGCGTGACGGGAATCACTTAGGTCGCGGTGCGGCAAGATGCAAGAGGAGCGTGAAAAAATATCGGAGATAATATCCGTTGCGTTGATTATTATTAAACGTCGTCACTTGTCCGCCGTGGATGTCCGCGCTTTTTTTCCACGAGCGTGATATAAAAAGGCGTCGCGCACCGTCCCTCCGGCACGTAGATCGGCGCCGCCGTTTCCACGAGGCGACGATATAAAAAGAGTCCCTTTGCGAGTGATCCTTGCGGATGATCGAGGATTAATAACGACAGGATGAACTTTAACACGCAGCTAGCATTTATCCCGCGGGCGGTTATCGTCGAAGCGAGAGAGGACGAAGCGATCGAGCCGGCGGCGGCGTCGACTCGGCGCTCGGCTCCTCTCTCGAAAGGCCAAGCCGCAAGTAAAGATCGATGGATCGATAGATCACGGTATCCGCGCGTTTGCAGTCCTGCGAGTCCTCCTCCCTCCCGCCCGTCCTTTCCGTTCGTTAGCCGATGCTTCTAGGTGTCGTTTGACGCGGGGATTATTATTTATCGTTCTGTACGTTTGAGGAATTAATCAGAACTGCGCGACGCGCGTGGGAGACTCGGAACTCTGAAAACGATGTATGAAATTGACGCGCCATTTTTGCGAACGCTTTGCATGTCACACGAGATGTTTCTTTATGTTAAATCGTCCGTGACACTTTTATAATTATGTCTCTTATATCAAAGATTAAAATTAGAACTATATATTGTGAGGACTAGTATATATCAGCATCTACTAGTTAAAAATTAATCTTTGGATTTTAATCATTTGTATTAAATATAAGCCAGTTATATAAGAAAAATCTAAGAGAACGTTTTTAGTGGTATCTGATATCGAACGCTACTCCATTTTTTTTTAAGGAACAATTCATACTTTATATCTTGAAACTAAGATGGAATCAATGCGTGTCAAATGTTCCCAAGATAGCAAGAATATACTTTATGACAATATACATTTTTTATTGCTATCGATTCGCCGAACGACGTTGATTACTCTTCTTTCTCCAGATATTGGAAAGTGTCAGGCGTTACGAATTTCACGCGAAATAACCGGATTCGCTCGTGTTCTTCTGATTTCTGCTTGTAAGTCTGCGAGAGCACGCCGCTGTTAGAAGTCGGCATCGGGACGCGGTCGATATAATTTCCGGTGGATATATATCACTGGGATTTATGGACGCGTTCGCTGATTTACCATGTCTCGCGTTAATCGGGATATTCTCCCGTCGATCGCGGAAGAGATCGCGAATCCACGATTTATAGTAGGCCTGACATTGATTTTGCGATGCGATGCACGCGCTTTCGCGGATGTTGCGTTCGTTTCCTCATTTAAATGTATGGACTGCTTTTTGCTGGCGTAAAGAAAAAAACTCGCATTTTAATTCTTAAATTAATTGAGCAAAATTATTATCGACGCTTTTGCGCGGTTTTTAATTAATTTTATTGAATGCATGAGATCCAATTTCTTTTGTATCGATAGGAACTTCGACGGGCAAAATTTAATTTAATCTAACGCTATATATTTATATCAGTGTATTGTGCTTCAACTTCTCTATTTCAATATTTTACGTCACGAGTACGTGTAAAATACCTCTTGAAATACTGAGTCGCGTTGCTGAAGGGTAGTATGTTCGAAAAAAAAAAGAAAAAAATCAAAATAAAATTTCTCTGTAGACAGTTTTCATTTGTATATTTCATATTTTACCTCTCCGTTGAACGCGCGCGCAGAGTTTACGTAATTTCAACACAACGTGTGTTCGACTGGCGTATCGGTGCTGATAATGTAAAACCAGGATCGGGAGAGAAAGTGTCTCTCCTTCGCCTTAAGGCTTGTTCACACGCGCTTCAAACACCGTGGCGAATGGCGCGGCGCGGCGGTTCGCTCGTGGGCGCGTAAATGCACGCAGGCCGAACTTATATAATCGATTACGGTAATACAACGGAGTTATGGCAATCTCCGGGCAGCCACGGCAGGCAGGCCAGGTAACCCAATTCCGTGTTGACCGGACATATCGGTGTTTGCCGCACCGCGCGCACCGCGTTGTCGGTCGAAGAGAAAAGTGCGGCGAGGGAAGGTGGCCACTGGCCAGCGTTATACCGCGGTCCTCGCGGGATATTACCTCCATCGAACTGAAACGCGATCGTTGTTACCGGACCCCCTTCGATTTCGCATCCGTTCCGAGCGACGCGATCGCCGGAGATTCGTTTCCGTAACACTTCGAGTTTGACTGGTATTTCCAATTTAAATCCCCCGCCGATCGTTAAACAAACATCGGTAAGCAAACACACTCGCGTTTGATTATTCGGGGTGTGATTATTCAGTGCGTTGTCTGATTTAAGTATATTAAAACATCGGTGATTCGCCCGCAACGCGTTTTTCAGCGTACACACGCGCGAGATGAACGCCCGCGTATACGCGAACCGGTGGGAAATAAGCAAACCGCGAAGTGTAATTACGTAACGAGACAGGCGCAGATTGAGACGCTCCTATATAACTAAGTCATTTATTTTTCGCGGCGTTTGATAATGTACGAGAATTACGAGGAGGCGGGATATATTTATTTTATATTGACATGTTCTACTTTATTATTTTGAAACTATGTTATATTTTATAACTGATAACCGCAGAAAAGGTTGTATGTTAAATAATAATTAGATTTTATTGATCTGAAATTTAAGGCATATACGTACGTGATATTATATGAAATATAATACATATTTATATATATTTAATAATTAAATAATATTTGATACACATAGATACACTGAGAAACCCATTTGTTGAATCAACCAAATCTTTGGTTGGATATGAGCAAACAAATTCTTTAGTTAATGTAACAAAAAATTTGGTTTATATAAGAAAAACAAAAAAAATTTTGTTATTTTAAGCAAATTTTTTGTTATATTAACTAAAGAATTTGTTTGCTCATATCTCCAACCAAAGATTTAGTTGATTCAACAAAATGGGTTTCTCAGTGTAGAAACTTTTTATAGCTTTAAAATTAGCGGTACTTTTTAATTTGATGAATTGGCATGGTTTTTGCATGCAATCTTGTTGATATAAAAACTGTATAACAGCGTTCTAAAGATGGAAAATCGTTAAGAGAAAGAGCGAGCTCATTTTACGGACTGTATTATTCGATCTGGAATTAAATTTCTATCATTTAAGAGTGAACGGAAGTAATGAACTGATTGTGCAATAGGAAATTCGCTAATAAAAATTTAATTACGAAACTGCAGCTCATGATAATAAAATAAAAACGATCAATTTTTCCATCTTTAGACATTATTTACAGTAATACGCAAAATTATATTTTATAGCATTTGTTATATTTTTACTTCCGTATTAAGGA